AAAATCACGTATATATACACGTAATTTTCCATTTCCACGCTACCCGCGTTGCCATTTGTGGCCACGGCTGTCAATCACCGGGTCCCGGACAGTGATTACCTGCATCTACGATGGTATTCTTACTGCCCAGTGCCATTATTACAGTGTCAGTGCTTTTTTTTTTAGCATTGATCACTGTATTGGTGTCACAGTGGGGATGACAGTGACACCAAGTCAGTTCCCCTCCACGTGTCAGAATGTCGGCCGCAGTCCTGCAGTCCCACTATAAGAAGCTGAATTCCAGTTGTAAACATTATAGCTTTCACGTAAACCAATTAATTTACACATATTGGGATTTTATTTTAGCAAAGACATGTAGCAGAATACAAAATAGTGTTATTTTCTCAAAATTGTCAGTCTTTTTTTTATAGCTCAAAAAAATAAAAAAAGCACAGGCGATCAAATACCAATGACGGAAAGCTCAATTTGTGGGAAAAAAAGAATGCAAATTTAATTTGGGTGCAGCGTTGCATGACCGTGCAATCGTCAGTTAAAGTAACGAAGCGCTGTAATGCAGAAAATGGCCTGGCCAGGAAGGGTAAATCCTCTGGAGGGCAAGTGGTTGAAGAGCATTTTCAGCTATCAGTCGTCCAGAGCAGATATTTGAATGGAATCCTGGAAATATTAAAGAGATTATTTTTGTTCCTAGCTAGAACAAAAAATACAAATCATAGGGTCCCATACAGCCTGCCTGCTCAGCTCTATAGAGCTCTGGACACAGATCCTTATATTCATAAAGACTGGTGTAGAGGGATTTTGCGAAAGCGTCTCGCATGCATTGCAAAAGCGGCGCAGCATGTGACAAGTTCATGTACCTGTCTAGAAATTGTACTTGAATTTGGCACATGCTGTGCCACTTTGGAATGCATGCGAGACGCTAGGGATGCACCGATACTGTTTTTTTTATCGGCGAGCATGAGTTTCGATACTTTCAATCAACTACTCGCTACTGATTACATAGTTACATAGTTAGTCTGGCTGAAAAAAGACAAAAGTCCATCCAGTTCAACCATTAAAAAAAAAAAGTTATAATTCTATACCCACAGTTGATCCAGAGGAAGGAAAAAAACCCAGCAAAGCATGATCCAATTTGCTCTTGCAGGGAAAAAAAATCCTTCCTGATCCCCTGATAGTCAATCGGATATTCCCTGGATCAACTTCACCTATAAATGTTAGTATCCAACTCTTGAGGGAGTCTATTCCACATTTTCATAGCTCTCACTGTGAAGAAACCTTTTCGTGTTTGGAGATTAAATTTCTTTTCCTCCAGACGTAAAAAGTTCCCCCTTGTCCTCCGTGATGTCCTCAGGGTGAATAGCTCTACACCAAGTTCACTATATGAGCCACTGATGTATTTATACATGTTGATCATATCCCCCCTTATGTATTATACATGATGATCATATCCCCCCTTATGTATTATACATGGTGATCATATCCCTCCTTATGTATTATACATGATGATCATATCCCCCCTTATGTATTATACATGGAGATCATATTATACCCCCCCCTTATGTATTATACATGGTGATCATATCCCCCCTTATGTATTATACATGATGATCATATCCCCCCTTATGGTGAATTCATGTTGATCCCCCCCTTATGTATTATACATGTTGAGCATATCCCCCCTTAATCTCCTCTTCTCTAGAGAGAATAAATTCAGTTCCTCTAATCTTTCCTCATAGCTGATCTCCATGTCTCTTATCAGTTTGGTTGCCCTTCTCTGTACTTTCTCCAGTTCCCCAATGTTCATTTTGTGAATTGGTGCCCAAAACTGAACTGCATATTCCAGATGAGGTCATACTAATACTTTTACTGATACCTTGTGGTGCGATTTGTGTTAATGGATGCAAATTGGACTGCAAAGAATAGCATGTGATTTGAACAGAAATGTGATTCCTGTCCAAATCGCATGCGGTTTCCTCACTGTTCCTGTGTGAACCCAGGCTTGGTAGGAGAGGAGAGAACGCAGCAGGGATTTGAAATCCCCACTGCTTTCTTTCCTCTCCTTGCAGGGATGACAGTTCTGGCTAGAGAATGGTGCTGACCAATCAGATACTGTTTAGCCTGCATTGTCATTGCTGCAAGAAGAGGAGAGAAAACTGCTTCACATGTCTGAGAATTTTAAATCCCTGTGGCTTTCTCTCCTCTCATTGCAGCGATCACAGTATGGACTAGACGGCATCTGATTGGTCAGCACCGTCTATGTGATGGAGCTGACCAATCAACAGCCCTCTAGTCCGATCCAACTTTTCTCTGGTGTTTTGCCACAATGTAGAAGTAGAGCAAACTAGAACCACCTGAAATTGGCGCATGTGTCACTACCAGAACGAAAACTGTTGCAGGTTTTTCTTAATTTAGAAAAACACCAACAGCAATTAACGCCAAAACAGTGGCGCAGCAGCTATATTGCATTCCACTTCCCCCAGAATTTCAGAATATTGTCTTAAAGGCTTATACTGTAATTATATTTACTGCATCAGTTATTTTGTTCCATAATGTATATCTCTAGGTTGCCACCTTCATCTCTATATATGATTATAAAAAAAAATAGGGCCAAAAAGAAAGTAAAATAGGAATATCATGCCAATTATTTTCCTGGTAACACCTCAATAATGTCTCAATGTGTGTACTCACTGAAAACGAATGATAGCTTCCCTTTAAACTGGCTGGCAATTACTTCACAGTCTGCAAAAAAATGTTCGAAATTCAGAACGTTAACACATTTGCTCCTAGTTCATAAGGCAGCAATAATTCCCATTGAATGAAAAGGCTCAAATATTGTAACAAATTTATTTCAAAGAAGCATTTACCATAACAAATTCTCATCCTTTTCGGTTCAAGACAGAGTTCAGTTTTCTACAAGCTATTCTGATGTCTTTCTACAATATCCCATATTCCCTGATTTAATTATCTCTTCCATTTCAGATAGACAGGAGCTGCCCATTACATTATCATCCATTAGTTAAGCAACATCACATTTTCCATATTTAAGAGGAGAAAGCATGCTATGAGACAGATAAATTAAGAACCACACCTGCAGTACGGTCCATGACAAGCAAACTAATCTTGGAGATATTACCGAGATCCTGAAAGATGTGGACAGCAACTTTGCACACAAGCTGAGATGGCCCATGGGTCTGCAAATGGCACTGAGAGGACCACAACTAGCCATAAAATATATACAATATATACAATATATACACTAATAATAAAAAGATCCTATATATGAAACATCCAATGTATGTGAAAATGACTGCAGCACTTCATTGGTTCACTAGGCAGAGAGCTACAAAAATACATATTTTGTTGGATAGATGTTGTACTAATAGCTCTTGCAGTTTAATAAGAGTACACGTATGCTGACCAGGTCAGATGCACATTTTCTCTACAGAACCATTTGTGTGCTGCTAGCTGCAGCTAAAGAAATGATGGGGGAATGGGATGTCCTAAAGGAAGCTACAGCACCGATCACTGTCCTTATACATGCAGGAGCAGCACAAGCCCTTCTAGACAAGCCACAAGATTGTAGAGTAGCTTCTAGAAGAGGTACAAGGTTCTACAGAAGCTTCTAGAGGAGGCACATGATTCTACAGGGGCTTCTAGAGGAGGGACACGGTCCTAGAGGAACTTCTAGAGGAGGCACAAGGCTGTGAAGGAACTTCTAATGGAGGCACAAGGTTCTAGAGGAGCTTCTGGAGGAGGCACAAGCTTCTAGAGAAGCATCTAGAGGAGGTACAAAGATCTAAAGGAGGCACATGGTTCTAAAGAGCTTCTAGAGGAGGCACAAGGTTCTAGTGGAGCTTCTAGAGGAGGCACAAGGTTTTAGACAAGCTTCTAAATGAGGCACATGGCTCTAGAGGATCTTCTACAGGAGACACAAGGTTATAGAGGAGCGTACAGAGAAGGAACAAGGAAACCTTTCCTGCCCAAGTCAAGAGGCAGACCTGAAAAAAGGAAAAGAGGGGAGAAAAAACACAAACATTTTCCCCAGATATTCACTGTTGTCTCTTTTAGGAGTGCAACATAATTAGGGTGGAGCTTTAAAAAAAAAAAGAGACCTGCCTGTTCTCAATCTTCTTTACAATGTACACTGAGCTGTTCATTTGCAGGAGTTGCATAATCCCGGCATGGCCAATCAAGACGGGGTGAAGATGTTGGCACTGTGATATCTCATCCTGGTGCAGTCAGTTAAGATCAGGCAAAGATGTTGAAGCTGTGATGCATCATCCTGGCACAGTCAATCAAGACCGGGTGAAAATGTTGGTGCTGTGAGGGTGTGTAAATGACACTTCATCAATGAAAGTGAGGTGAGTATAATTCTGCTTTTATGTCACCTTCCCCACTCATTCTGTTAACCTGGCAATGCGGCCATTTGTCAGAAGGGCTACATGGCCCATATCCTAGGCTGCCATCACTGGGTTCAATTCACGTCAATTAAAAGAGTATTTTAAAACAAAATAAAAAAAATGCAACACATCCCTACAATACAATGCATATTTACCCGTGTTTTATTTTTTAACCACTTGCCTACCGGGCACTTTTACCCCCTTCCTGCCCAGGCCAATTTTCAGCTTTCAGTGCTGTCGCACTTTGAATTGCGCGGTCATGAAACACTGTACCCAAACAACATTTTTTTACTAGTTTTTTTGAGACAGATAGAGCTTTCTTTTGCTGGTATCTAATCAGCACTTGTTTTTTTAATTTTTTTGCTAAAAAAGACAGAAAATTTTGAAAAAAAAAGTTTTTCCTTAGTAAAATGTTGTAAATAAGTACTTTTTTCTCCTTCACTGATGTGCCCTAATGGGGCTGCAGTGATAGGCACTGATAGGCTTCATTGATGGGCTCTGATAGGCGGCACTGATGAGGAGGCACTGATGGGCATTGATAGGCATCGATAGTGGGCATTGACAGGCATCGCTGATGGGCACTGAAAGGCAGCACTCATATATGGCACTAATAGGTAGCACTGATGGGCACTGATAGGCAGCACTGATAGGCAGCACTGACGAACACTGATAGACAGCACTGACTGTCACTGATAGGCGGCACTGACTGGCACTTATAGGTGCTACTGATGGGTACTGATAGGCGGCACTGATAAGCAGCACTGACTGGCACTGATATGCAGAACTGACTGGCACTGATAGTTACCAATGAAAGGCAGCTCTGATGGGCACTGATATGTAGAATTGATGTGCACTGATATGTGGCATTGATGTGCACTGATGGGCACTGGTATGTGGCATTGATGGGCACTGACAGGTGGGAATTATGGGCACTGACAGGTGGCACTGATGGAACTATACTGATAATCAGGGTGCTGATGATGTCCCCTCTGAGGGCTGCTGATAACCAGCATTTCCTATTTACATGAAATCAGATGTGATTGGACACAGCTGATCAGATGATAGAGCCTATGTCATTGGCTCTTTACTGCAATCGGTGATCCGCTGTGTCCCAGGGACACAGCGCACCACCATTCGCCACGCCTTGTGCCCCTGGGGGCATGCATGCGCAGCTAGAGAGGGAGGACACCATATGACGTCCTCCCAGAATGAGAGAACTGCCACCCTCCTGTCATTTCCGTATATGGCGGGCGGGAGGCAGTTAAAGACTCTACAATTGCAGAAAAATACCCTTTGATCTTCAAGAAATGCACTTAGCTGCTAAGTCCTGTTGTGGGCCCTGTTTGTGGACTGAGTGGTGTCAGGCCTGCCTTGTATTGTTTGCCAAACAACTCAGTCACTGCCACTCAGATCTCTACAACATAAATGCTAATCGTTCCTTAGCCAATGATAAGAACTAGATCAACAGTTTTATTTCAATTATCAAACAGATTTAGCAAAATGCATCCAATGGTATATTTACCAGACCAAAAGGGGGCAAAAAGGGATGTTTATTGTTAGGGAGTACATACATTTTAATTATGCACGTTCCCAGTGATGAACCACTTAAAGTACTGCAAAGACTACCATCCTTGTATAGTTCTATAGGTTCAGGCGAAGTGTTGATGAGAAGATGGTTTGTATGAGGGGTAGTCGCAATGCAGCAAGCTTCTTGACAACCAGCTCAACTTTCAAACACACACAAGCAAAGCATTTACTTCATTTTAAAGGGTTGGTGGTGTTATTTTTCAATTCTTTCATAGTGGATGATACAAAAAAAAAAAAATTCTAAAATTCGTGCTGTATGTAACAGTATGAGAGATTTTTGCAAGATGCTGGTAAATTTTCTAGGAATAGTTGCGAGACTTTGGGGTCAGGTAGCCTCTCCCTTATCAATAACGGTTTCCATTAAATCACATTTCTCTGCAGGAGCTTCATTTGTCCAATTTATTTTGAGCTTTACTGTAATGCCAACTTCCCAAGAAGCTATAGAAAGATTAGAAGTCCCAGGAACATAGGTTTCTATATTGGATAGAGATCACTCAGAGCGATAGGGAAAAAATGTCCTCTTTTCCTTTTCCTTTTTGACAGGTGAAGAAAGATTGGAAAGAAGAAAAAAAAGTGGCTAGGGCCGGTAAATTAAAATTACCTGGAAAGTTTATTAATGAAAGCTTGTATAAGGCAGATGTAAAAATCAGGCTGGAAGTGCGCCCTCTTAATGAACATAAACTAGTAATCTCTGTTGAGTTTGTTGCAGGATACTAAAGAGTTGTTAGTCAGGAAGTTAACCATGTTACCATTCTTTAAAGTGTACCTGTGCGTAGAAAATAGACATAAAAGTATTTACATATTCTTAACAAGTAATTAAACTCTAAGTGGTTGTAAAGCCAGAAGGTCTTCACAAGTGTATTCATGGAAAGCTGCTTCCTATGGTGGGCACTTGTTGGGGAGGGGGGGGGGGGGGGGGGCTTCCAGCGGTGCACCAGAGAAGAGAAGGATTGAGGGTCCTCTGCGGAAAACCATTGCACAGAACAGATAACTATGAAATGTTTGTTAAATGTCTACAATCACTTTAAAGAAATCCTCACTTCCTCTGTAGCTACATGTACTGTGTAGTAATTCATCCTCAAAGATAACAACAGAGTAGTTGAAGCCAGGTCTTGATTTGACAGGTGTGCAGTTGTGGGTGAGTAGCCCTGAATGCACAAATACACATTGCCTGTGTTTGGGACCTTACACCTTCACCCACACGCCTGTTGAAATTAGGACCTGTGACTGTGTTCTTACAGCCACTGTGTCCCCATTATGTAACATAGGCTGCCTGCACACAGCCCCAGCCACATAAAAAAAAATGCTGATTCACACTGTACAGGTCAAAGCATCCATGTGAATGAGCCCCAAGACCTCATTCACACACAGGGCTTTGTTTATTAACTTAATACATTTTTATCCTTTAGATTTAGCAGGACTTTTGTAAGGTATGATTTTAATGTATTTTAGTGAAAATATTGTTTGATATTTTCAGGTGGGCTGTCAGGTGGGCTGTATGAGGCATCATGATTTCTAACAGCAGCCCTGCATATGCCATACCTAAGGGATCCCTGTGAAAGCTGGAAATCACTGTAGTAATCACCAGCAGGGGCGGACTGACAACCCATGGGGCCCGCGGGCAATAGGGGATCATGGGGCCCCTGTGTCCTCGCTCACACTTAAACCACACCCAAAAAAGCCTATGAAAGGTACCAGGGGCATCTCATGGGGCCCCCTACTGACCCTGGGCCCTCGGGCACTGCCCAAATTCCCAAATGGTCAGTCTGCCCCTGATCACCACTATTCTCTGATTGGCCTAGGTGGAGATCGTTATGTCATTGCCCCGTGTCTCCAACTTTTCCAATCAGAGAACACCTTGCATTCATTGAGAATAATGGAAGGTGTTCTGTAAATGGCACCTATACTGAGTAAGCAAATCTGGTGTTCACTATGCAGCGGGGCAGCTGCTTTGCATAGGACCAAGAAGACCGAGATCACTGATCATATAGTGATTCTTCACTCCCCAAGCGTATGGCATATGCATACTTACTGTACATTGGTCAAAGCTTGACCAATGTAACAATGCTATAATAGCCATACTTGGAATTCAGCTTTAAAGCTTATTTGGTTTGGTCCTCCTATGATATCTTTTGCTTCTGGAATTTCACTCTGGGTCTCCCAGTAAGGGGCACTCTGGTTCATGAGAGCAGCCCTACTAAAGCCAGTGAGCTCTACACACTGGACCAACTTTTCACAATCATGAGATCCAGTTCCACTTTCTGGATTTAGCAAAGGAAATGTCATGAGTTTAGGGATAAAAGTGGCTGGAGGAGACTGACAGCCTGACATTTGCAATGTTAATCTTTTTTACCAAACCATAGGGAGACATAGAAACATAGAAGAGTGATGGCAGAAAGAAAAGACCAATTGGTCTATTGAGTCTGCCCCTCTTTGTAAACTTTTTTGTTAGATCTATACTCAGTGTTTGTATCAAGCATGTTTTAATTAACTGTCTCACTACCTCTGCTAAAAGCCTATTCTGAACATCAACTACTCTTTCAGTAAAATAATACTTTCTAAGGTTAGTTTTAAACTTTCCTCCTGCTAGTTTAAGGCATTGTCCCTGTGTTCTTGGTCTTGCCTTCATATTGGACATACTGCCCTTATATGCACCCCCTTAATATATTTAAAGGTTTCAGTCAGGTGTCCCCCTTCTCTTCTTTTCTCCAGACTGTACACATTAGGTTCCTGAAGTCTCTCCTGATATGTTTTATCCCTCAGACCTTTTACATTTTGTTACCCATCTCTGGACTTGTTCTATATTATCAACATCTTTTTGTAAGTGAGGTCTCCAGAACTGGACACAATGTTCTTAAGCCGGCCATAGACGGTTCAAATCTCGGTTAGCTCAGCAGGATTCATTTGAGAATTGAACCACGTATGGCCAGGCTGAATGTACCCAAGTTGATCGATCAATCAACTTGCGTATAACCAGCCTGTTGGGTTTTCTATGCGATTATTGCTAGTGACTATTATAGCTGTCCCCGCTGGGCGACCGTCCCGACTGGAAGAACACAATGGCTCCATGGGAGGGATTACCCCATTAACACTGATTGTGTTGATGGGGAATCTGGTGATCTTCTATGGCTGGCCTAAATGAGGTCTAATTAAAGATCTATATATTGAAAAGGATAATTTTCATTTGATGCAGGATATATTGATTACTTTGAAGGAATTAAAAGTGGACAGAGAAAATACTATTTTTAATAAATACCATCATATATCAGATATTTAGATTTTTAGCAGTGGAATTTTTTTGGGCAATGGAAACCAGTATTGGGAAAAAGGTGATTTGAGTGTCGATGGGTCAAATATAGGGATACAATTCAGGTTTTGGGCCAGGGTACAAGTTTCACCCTCAGGGAAGGTTATGGTATTTAACAAAATCTTGAATGCATATTGGGTTTCTAAGATTTATATTCCATGAGTTCATTGAATATTTACTGCGTACAGTATGTCAATTTGATATAATATATACAGTCAGGTCCATAAATATTGGGACATGGACACAATTCTAACATTTTTGGCTCTATACACCACCACAATGGATTTGAAATGAAACAAACACGATGTGCTTTAACTGCAGACTGTCAGCTTTAATTTGAGGGTATTTACATCCAAATCAGGCGAACAGTGTAGGAATTACAACAGTTTGCATATGTGCCTCCCACTTGCTAAGGGACCAAAAATAAAAATGGGACAATTGGCTTCTCAGCTGTTCCATGGCCAGGTGTGTGTTATTCCCTCATTATCCCAATTACAATGACCAGATAAAAGATCCAGAGTTCATTTCAAGTGTGCTATTTGCATTTGGAATCTGTTGCTGTCAACTCTCAAGATGAGATCCAAAGAGCTGTCAGTATCAGTGAAGCAAGCCTTCATTAGGCTGAAAAAACAAAACAAACTCATCAGAGAGATAGCAAAAACATTAGGCGTGGCCAAAACAACTGTTTGGAACATTCTTAAAAAGAAGGAAAGCACCGGTGAGCTCAGCAACACCAAAAGACCCGGAAGACCACGGAAAACAACTGTGGTGGATGACGAAGAATTCTTTCCCTGGTGAAGAAAACATCCTTCACAACAGTTGGCCAGATCCAGAACACTCTACAGGAGGTAGGTGTATGTGTGTCAAAGTCAACAATCAAGACAAGACTTCACCAGGGTGAATACAGAGGGTTCACTACAAGATGTAAACCATTGGTGAGCCTCAAAAACAGGAAGGTCAGATTAGAGTTTGCCAAACGACATCTAAAAAAGCCTTCACAGTTCTGGAACAACATCCTTTGGACAGATGAGACCAAGATCAACTTGTACCAGAGTGATGGGAAGAGAAGAGGATGGAGAAGGAAAGGAACTGCTCATGATCCTAAGCATACCACCTCATCAGTGAAGCATGGTGGTGGTAGTGTCATGGCGTGGGCATGTATGGCTGCCAATGGAACTGGTTCTCTTGTATTTATTGATGATGTGATTTGCTGACAAAAGCAGCAGGATGAATTCTGAAGTGTTTCGGGCAATATTATCTGCTCATATTCAGCCAAATGCTTCAGAACTCATTGGACGCCGCTTCACAGTGCAGATGGACAATGACCCAAAGCATACTGCAAAAGCAACCAAGGAGTTTTTTAAGGGAAAGAAGTGGAATGTTATGCAATGGCCAAATCAATCACCTGACCTGAATCTGATTGAGCATGCATTTCACTTGCTGAAGACAAAACTGAAAGGAAAATGCCCCAAGAACAAGCAGGAACTGAAGACAGTTGCAGCAGACGCCTGGCAGAGCATCACCAGGGATAAAACCCAGCGTCTGGTGATGTCTATGCGTTCCAGACTTCAGGCTGTAATTGACTGCAAAGGATTTGCAACCAAGTATTAAAAAGTGAAAGTTTGATTTATGATTATTATTCTGTCCCATTACTTTTGGCCCCTTAACAAGTGGGAGGCACATATGCAAACTGTTGTAATTCCTACACCGTTCATCTGATTTGGATGTAAATACCCTCAAATTAAAGCTGACAGTCTGCAGTTAAAGCACATCTTATTTGTTTCATTTCAAATCCATTGTGGTGGTGTATAGAGCCAAAAATGTTAGAATTGTGTCCATGTCCCAATATTTATGGACCTGACTGTATATATATACAGTATATATATATATATATAGTATGTATCATAGTTGTAAAACATTTAAAGCCATTGCTCAGCTGAAGCTGTATTAGCTCTGTACTATGACAATATATCTGTGTTTAATCAACTACAAGGTCATCCCAATCATTGGTGATCTAGCTAGGTACCCTCAGGTTATATAGTCATTTAGGAGTGGCAGGATTTCAAATGATAAAATCATTGAGGTGCAATTACTATTTTTCGTCTTGTTGTAACTATGTGATTTGTAAATAAAGAGCATTAAGATTTTACAAGGGTTTGATGTTTAAGTGCCTATAAAGTCCATTGAGTTGCAATCACTTTTTTGCCTATATATATATATATATATATATATATATATATATATATATATATATTTATATATGTGGTTTAGGGTTAAAAACTACTTTAAAGTATTAAACCCAAAAGCAAACATTTACTATGTTGCATCTTACCAATTCTTAGATGTGACAGCTGCATTAGTTTCCTTTTTTTAGGATTTTTTTCTTCTATTTTCATCTGGTGATACAGCGAGCACGTCTGTTGTTTTTCAGAAGCAGAAGCACAAGCTCCCCAGCAGAATGTATCTGTTCACATGGATGAGACAATCTATTTACTCACCCGCGCACCACCCGTGGATACTACCCTGCAGCCTGACGCAGCCACTCAGCCCGAGGCTCAGGCGCCCAGGTCTCCACTCGGACAACAGTAAACTCCCGAGGATCCCTACAGCGTCCCCTGTATCCAGTAAGCCACCTCCATCTCCATCTACCTCAATCCCCACCCCTGATTCCGGACAAGACATCTTCATCTCCGTCCATCCTCATCCCTCCATTTCCATCCATCCCCACCCCGGTGGTCTTCCCCGCAGACACCCACGGCCATGTCACCAGGGGTCACCTCTGGCCTGGTGCACTGGCTTCTCCCCATCGGCTTCAAGGGACATCAACTCTGCAACTCCCACCCATCCCTCTCCTGCTCAAGCCAACCCTCATCCTACATCCTGGAATCTCCACATGGACCCTGAACCCTGCCAAGCAAGTCTCCGCAGAGCACGCACATCCTCCCGCAAAAAACAGCCACACAACGCTCCCGATCCCGACCACCCAGACACCACTCACGCCGACCCCAACCCAGCTTGACCCAAAGGACAAGAATCAGCCGCACAACGCTCCAGACCCAACCACCCAGAGACCTCTCACGCTGACCCCAACCCAGCTTGACCCAAAGGACTAGAACTCTAGCTGAAAGATACTACAACGAGAAACCCCACTGCACGCTAGACAATCTCCAATCAAGCGCCCCTGGAAACCATCTCTCCATACCCGATCCCCACTCCCTACACCCTGAAACTCTAATTGCGGGAAGACACAGCGACGTGATATGCCACTGCTCACTGGACTATCTGCAGCCAAGCCTCCCACCACACCTATCCGCCACCCCGTGTACCTCCCCAAAATGCCTCTTACACTCCTCCTCCTCATATTCCTCTCCTCCGTTCCCAAAATCTCTTCTCCATATCCCTCTGCTCCTCCCAAACAACTGTATATTACGCCCTCACTGCTTCCTTCGCCCCTCTACGGCACCCACC